TCGATTGGTACCACTAATAGAACCGCTACAATCACTTTTGGACTTGACTGCACATCACGCCTTATCGCTCTGACAAAGCTACCTTGGAATGCGATGGAAATAATTGTTTTCTTTCGTCTATTGTAGTATCTGGAACGCCACACCATCTACCCTGCCAGCATGAAAGGCATCATTGGGCCGTTCCTTTGAGTCACTGAGCACTCGAAATTAGTCCAACAAGGAAAGTCGCAAGCCCTGCGCTTTTAGGTGCGAAGGTCCTCCTACTCTAACATTGTCACGCGTCACGCTAACCGAAAGAAGATACGAGAAAGCAAAGAAGGCAGAAGAAATATATGACCATTTCTCGTCTCATTTCCTAGATGGCGTTACTCTGCCGCTACTCTCCGAAGTGCCGCTACTCTCCAATTAGCTGCTGCGCGCGCTTTGCCTGAGTGCGCAGAGAATGAGTGCCTCTTTCAGTCTCCTGGATAGTTACCGTACGTGGCGGATCGTTGGTGGGGCATGGATGAAGCTGAGCGGCGGGCGCGTCGAAAACGCTTGCGCTCGTCTTTCTTGGCTCGCGTCTTGTCGTTGTTACCCACGCACCGTCTGCATTGTCAAACGCGATCGGACGCATGGACGCATGCATAGACGGACGGACACACGGATGTATGGATGGACGGCGTCAATTCACTCATCATCATTCACTCCGTGGATATGCTGTGATTTTTTTCAGCGTTAAGGATGTATTTGATTATTCGGCCCGTGATGACATCTCAAACTCTCACGAAGCGATGGACATTCATAGATAAACGTTTCAGTGGATAGAAAGACTATGTAGCTGAGCGGCCATTGTTTGGGCAAACTAATGTTAAAGAACTGAGCATTAAACGTAGTGCGGAATACCTCAAGGGGGTGTATAATACCCCAGCTGTGTGTTTGCTACTCTGTTAATGTCAATTTTTTTTGCGTCTCTTTTCGCTTCTTTATGTCTTTCGCACATATAGGGTAGCAAATCGGACATGTGTCTGGTTAACTTTCCTGTTTTACATGCGAAGCACTTCTTAGCGAACTTCAGCGACTTTGAGCGTATCTATCTATCTATCTATCTATCTATCTATCTATCTATCTATCTATCTATCTATCTATCTATCTATCTATCTATCTATCTATCTATCTATCTATCTATCTATCTATCTATCTATCTATCAACGACTTTTAGTTCTCCTGACAGTTTCGATAATGGTATGGATACCAAACTTGGTATGGTAAACATGGCTGTATGAGGAACATATGTGATTAGTCGTAACATGAAAATAATGACATGTATGTCATGAATGACTTGATTTACATTTCATGACCCTGCAGCTCTGGCGGTGGTTTCGTTCGCATGGCATGTTGCAAAACTGGTATGGTATGACATGATTGCATGGCAAACACAAGTGACAGACCCTAACATGAAAATCATGACATGCGTGTCATGTAACAACACAACTACATGCCACGCTCAAGATATGCTGGCGGCCGTATCGCTAGCTTCACTTATAGCAAATTTGGTATTACGGGACGTGAACGGATGATGAAGGTATCATATTGGTGCAAACATGATAAACATGAGATCCATGTCACGTAACGTGACTACATGCTACGCTCATGATGCGCTAGCGGCCGTTTCGCTAGATTCACACGTACCAAATTCGGTATTACGCACCGCGAACGGACAACATAGGTAAATGACACATCCAAACATGATAATCGCGACGTGCGTGTCATGTAACAACATGACAATGTGCCACACTCATGATGTGCTCGCAGCCGTTTCGCTAGCTTCACGTATGCCGAATTTGTTATTACGTGACGTCAATGGATGAGTAATGCAAACATAATAATCACGAGATGCGTATCAAGTGATAACATGAGTACATGCCACAGTCAAGGCGCCAATACATTTCGACGTGACGCGGTGCGCGTGCTCGCCGGCGTTCATTTCGTCGCGCCACGCCAGTCGCCGGTCCTGCCACATACTCACTGGTGCGCACCACGCTTTTTTTAGATGCGGAAGCATCTTATACTCGCGCCTTGTAGTGCGCCGTCCGCGCCGTCCGCACCGCTTCTCGAACATTCGACAGCTGACGCGCGCGCATGCGCCGTCGCGCCGTCGCCCACTCTTCCACCATCTGTGCATCCCTTCCTCCTCTACACACCGCGCGTGCTTCACTCCTCCACCATCTGTGCACCCTTCCTCCTCTACATACCGCGTTCGACATCTACAATTCTCCTGATTCTCCAGTGGACGCGCATGTGGCGTCGCGCTTCGAGAACATTCAACAGCTGACAGTGCATGCGCCGTCGAGCTGTATATATACTCAAGGTCGGCGCTCGCTCGCTCAGTTGCCGCTCGTCGGTTGGTTTGTACGGCGCGTCGACGTCCAAGGTCGCGGTGAAATGAATTCCAACGAATCCACAAACACAATGATCGACGTCCCTTCGACCAGCACCGCCCTTTCGCATACGTGTGTACGTGTTCACTCATTTAACACCCCCTCCTACAACCACGTTAACCAATTTAGCCATCGACCCAAGTAAGTCGCAATTTAACACCCCATTTCACAACCACGTTAACCAATTTAGCCATCGACCCAAGTAAGTCGCACTTTAACACCCCGTTAACCAATTATATGCTCCGCATCCTCCTCAGTGTTCCCCCGAGGGAAGCTGCGGGCAATTTTTTTTCGTTTCATTCTCTCTCTCTCTCCACAACACAACGTTTGTGGAAAGCCCGGATGCCATCAGTGTATAGTAGGAGGAAGAGAATTTCGGCCAGGACAAATCTCGACGATCAGCTGAGGCTGATCATAGGGCCCCAGGACGCCGCCTAAGGCCAAGACGTCTTGGAATAGAGACACCTCTCCTGAAACATCTCTAATAATGAAGTTTGTTACATTTCTCTCTCAGAGTACGTCTCCCACCTATACTTGTTCAGCGCAATGCCGGTGACAGGAAGCTGCTGAACAATCGAGGAAAATGCATATACAACGTGAGGTACGAACTGCGAGGAGGTCTTCTAAAACCCGTCAATACCTAATGCGATGCGAGAAGACAGAAATGAAAAAAAAGAACAAAGTTGAAAGCAGGGGATGGATAAAAGGCAATGGCAAACGTTCCCACACACAATAAAGCATGGTGGTTAAAAAAAAAAAGGAGCAACGATGGCGCCCAAGCGGAGCAAGCGCTCAAGTTGTCTCTCTCGGGCTGAGATTTTGGAGGCGGCGAGGACAAGAAGGGGAAGTCGGTGTCCGTGCTGGTCGCACTGACTCAGCGAAGATGCCGAGCGGGGCCCTCGTGGGAAAGCCTCCTCCCTGATGAACCTCGGCCGCCATTTTCGCTCTCGGCCTGCCTACAGCTGGTGTGTGTGCATAGCGTGCGCGCGCGCTTCGCAGCCCGTTTTCTTTTGTGGGGTGCAAAATCCACCGGCGCGAACAACGTGGGAACAGAAAGAAGAACGCGCTGGACGAAATAGACAGGCGTCGTCCTGCTATGAGCGCTTCCTTTGTTTCGCCTTTCTCGCAAAAGCGCTGACCATTCACGACATCCGAAGAGATCCTCCTTTCTTTCTTTGTTTTTTACTAGTTTCTGAAGAGCAGCGGGCTTGCCTGAAGCTTTCACGCAGTCAGTCAGCCGAGCGCCTCGCTCGGCGTGGACGTTAACCCACATGTCAGGACGCGGCGTGGCTGGCTCGCACCTGCTGTATTTGCGGGCCTGTTGCGCGCTTGGCAATAGTCGAGGCAGCGGAGGGGATGGAAAAAAAGAGGAATGTGAACAGTGCGCTGCCGTTCAAAGTGGAGCACGTAAACTGCGTCGTTGCAGCCGGGAAAATAGTGTGGGACTGTTGTTCGCCGCGCTATAGGTGCCTCTCCATTGATCGAGAACCTGACTTCTTCGGTGGCGAACGGCTCCACTCGGACGGCAGCGTTCTCGGAATGGTGAGTCTGCGGAGCCGCTGTTGTCTACGCATCTGAGCCGATGAAGTATGCTTCGTTGTCTGCGGTGTGTTCGCTCGCAGGATGAAACTTGGTGAAGTATGACCCGTTGTATACGCCGCTATTACGGGATCGGTTGGCGGACGTTTTCCGGGCCGTTAGTAATCTGTACCGTATTGACGAATTCGTGGGATTTCCGGTTGCTCTGTAGCTCATTGCACCTTCTTTGTTCCGTAGTCTGTTATGAGTGATCTTGTTGTTCGTCCGGTGTTCCACCAAGCAGAATGTATCGGCATCGATATGGCGATATGGTCTGGGACTGTATGTGCAAACCTATCACGTCGCCATATTTATGTAATCTTGCGCATATACCACTTGCTCGGGTTCGAAAAGTCATCGCTACGACCACATGCTATTCTTCTGGACCAGCGTCAATGGTACCTTGCGCCAGGAAGACCCGAAAATAGGGTTCACGCAAATAATGTGTGGCGTCACTGCCCAAGCAGCTGTAGTTGGCTATTTCCGGTGCACGTAACTCAGTAATAGTGGACGAATACGATGAATGCATGAGGATGTGCAACGCATAAACTACTTCATGAAATCTTATTGGTTTCCACCATGCATTAGCACAAAATATCGGCTTGATTGTGCATCTCTTACTGCGAAGCTTTGTTTGATTTCTTCTGTTGAACAGCTGATAGGTGAAAATGTATGTGTCGCTGTGGTATGCTACTCAATATTTAAAGAAAACATATGCCGTTGACGTGCCTAGAATGCTACCTACAACATTATGAAATGTGATATATCAGACAGAAAATAAAAGATTTCGTTGGCTGTTTCGTACTGAAAGAATGCTTCGCCTATGCGAGCAATATATAATGTTTATCACCAGAATTAAGGGTGAAGGTGCGGCCCTCAATGTATCTTCAGTTAGAAAGCAATAAAGTGTGTGACCTCTTAAACGCAATGCTGTTTCAAATCTTCCTCTTTTAATCGCTCGCAGTTTACTTTTATTTATTCTTTCTTCACAGGTACGGTAAAATGAAGTCTGTCAAGCAGTTCCTTCATTCCTTCGCAGCGAATGGAAAGAGTCCGGATAGGCTCAAGATTTCTTCGGAAGATGGCACGATTACCGCTCTCGACGTGCGACCAGACATTTTGGTCTCAACCAAGAAGGATTTTCCAATCAAGTGAGCAGCTTCATTGCACGCATTTTCGGTCCGCTTGTGCACACCATCCAAGAACATATAGGCACGAAATCATTGCCTGAAATAACTGTGTGACTGGACGAAGCACCTTTGTCAACTTGTTCGGCACTTTGTTCGGCAGTTCACGGAAGCATTGACAAACGAGAGCTGTAAGTGCAAGACCAAGTTGTAAATTATTTTCACAGCCACCACACTATAGCGCAAAGATAAGATGTAATTTCTAGGGCACGTGGTGTTTCATTACCATCACACAGAGACTGAAACAGAAGAAATATAGGGTATCAAATATTTGGGAAAATGTTAAAATATACCTGTTACGAAACGCAAAGCCAGATCTGCTGCACCTCTGGGTGATTGGCTGTCATTTAACGTCTCAGTGAAAACCTTTGTAAATAAATGTCGTTTGTTATTTATGCAAAGTGCTTTTGTTGCACGCGTTACATTTCCCGAGTGCACTTCATTTAGTTTATGCTTTATATTAAAGAAATATGAATTTGGATGTTTCATTTATGCAGGAATAGCTGCCGATCGGAAGCTCCCGACATCAGGATGGCCACTAACGCCAGTGGTAAGCCGTTTCCTGTGATCTGCAACGTACGATCAACGGATCTCAAGACGTCCAAGCCAGTAACAAGGAACGAACCTTCTCCACCTCGTTCTAGCGGCGTGCGAGCTTTGAGAAAATGCACTTCGAGCACCAATGCAGGTGTCGCCGCGAGTGAAAGTCCGCCCGCTCAAGCCACGAGACGCCAGCCACTCGGCCTGCGAGTGTCTTCCGTCCCTTCTAGAAAGGACGAGACATGCTCGGGTCGTTCCCTGGTTCCACCACCCGTGGTAACTGCGGTGCTTACGAAGAGGCGCGCCAATGAATCCGCGGTTGAACTGGGGAAGAGCACATCCCAGGACGGCTGCACGAAGAGCCAAACTACCTATTCCGGTGTTAGGACGTTGAAGAGGGCCACTACCGAACGCACAGCGCTGAACGAATGTGCGACGCGGGGAGACCATAACGTAAGTGGCCTTCCACAGCAGGACGGCCTTGCCCTGACGAGGATACCGAGGTTTACGGCTGCTCCTCCACCAGCGGTACCACCACGCGTGCAAAAGCCAGTGGCCCAAAAACCAATTACTGTTCGACGCAGTACGAGCGACATTTCCCAGAGCGGAGGCGCTTCGAACGGCGGTGTTCACGCCGGCGAGAGACACGAAGGACAGCCTGTGGCCGGCGGTGCAGGACCATCTAAGGCTTCTCTGAAACCAGCGGCCAGTTTCACTGCTCCGAAGACAAATGATAGCGAGGTAATTGAGGCGCAGCATACGCCACCATGCGTGGAAGAAGGAGTCAGTGAGTCAAGCAGCTCCCAAGCCGAGAAAACGAGTGCGGTGGAATCGGAAGAGGCATCACCTGCCCCGGCGAAGAACACCGGAGGCAAAGGCAAGTCGAAGAGCCGTTGCCAAAGGCGCATCTGGAGCTTCAGTCTTCCGCGTTTTATGCGCTCTCATTCGTCACCCAAGCTGAACTCCGACTCCATGCCTAGTGAAGAATCGCGAAGCTCCACTCTGCCGAGACTCAAGTCGGCGGACGACACCGACCTCTCGGCAGCAGCAAAAGAAGGCGATGCGCACCTGTTCAAGATTACGTCCCTGACCTCGCTTCATGACCTGCCAGGCGACGCTGCTCCCAGGACGTGCTTCAGCCAGGGGGACCTCAACCAGGCGACGACTTCGACAAGAACTACTCAGTGCCAACGTATCGTCGTTCGGCAGCAGGACGAAGGTTTTCGCTTGGTGAACGGACCTTCTCAGGACGCAAAGAAGTCGTGCTCGCTAGCCGAGAGTCACTCCAGTTCCGACAACGGAACGGACAACAGCGGGACCGAGAGGCCTTACGTAATGCCTCCGAGAGCTCTCAGGAAGTACATCAAAACTAACTTCCGCAGGCTGAACATGCACGACGCGGAGGAAGCTGACACGACAAAAAAAGAAGACGATGCGGTACTTAAGATTATCGTGAAAGAGGATTCAGCACCTCAGCTGGCGTTGTCGGCGACATCCGAGAATGACGTCGAATCCCTCCCCAGTAGGTCCTCACTGTCCTCCTGTTCAGACAGTGCGAGGGCTCATCCAAACGACAATACAGAGCGAGAAGGCAATACCAAAGAACCAGAGGTATCTCTAAATTCTCTACCAAAAGTTACAGAACAGATCGTCACCGATCACGCTCGTACAGCTAGTTACACCAAAGAAAACAGCGATGATGGCTCATCGAAGGCGCATCCTTCATCACTGAGTGCTCATCGACTCTCACCGCCAATGACCTGTTTCGACGTGGACGCAGAAGTCTTCTCCGAACACGCAGACATACACCGGGCCATACCTGCAACGGTAAGGTTAATCAATTCTGCCAACGGAGCATCATCCGCATTAGATTCTTCCGGTCAAAGCGCCCCGCCCACTACTCGGGTATCGGACACGGACACGGCCGGCGCTGGTTGCAAGCCTCTCGTGAGAGTGCTTTCCTCTACCGCGGGAAAGGAGTGCTCGGAATCTCTTGACGTGAGTGATAGCAGCACGCAACGTCCACTCGCTGACCTTCCGGCTGTGTGCAACGGGGGAGGTGTCGGCGTTTCGACGAAAGACGGCGCGCTTTTTACGAATGGTGCCCCGGCCGTTCCCGAGGAACTGGACAGGCATGTGGACGGCGCCAGCTGCAGCGAGAGCCTCTCCTCGTTCGAGTCGGAGGTGGTGCTGCCCGACAAGCAGGAGAGGAAGGCGCACGGTGGCCACACCAGGAAGCTCAGGGTGCTCAACAGACCCACGTGCGGCTCGGGTGAGCATACCATTTGCATCCTGCTGGCAATGACCTTTCGCCACTACATGTTTTCATAGCAGCCCACGGCTGATGGGCGCGTGTAACACATTAGGGCTCATTGTTTCTCTTCAATTTAACACATTCCTTGGTACTAAACAGAAAACGTGGTAAGCTGTTTTACTTGTCAATGTATTATGATTACCGAGACGGCGACATCGCAGAAAGATAACACGCATAACACCTTTTTGTTCGTGTTATCTTTCTTCCTTTCTGCGTTGCTGTCCCATTGCGAAATGAGGCAATGGCATTCAAATCCGGAGATTCGCTTACATTAGATGCCTTACACGGAGCATAAATGTTTTGTTTTTATCAACCGTGGTCATATACAAAGGATGTCGAAACATTGGTTTTACCTGGAACGTCTCTTGTTCATCCGACTGTCACTCCCTTAAATGTTTCCGTCGAATTATGAACGTTGGTTTTCGAAGAAAAGCTTCTACTTACTTAGTTTTATTGTTTCTTTAATTGCTGCCTGCCGATTGAGGGTCGGTAATTTCTGACCTATTCTACTGTAACAACATGAAAAGACATTTCCTGTTGGTTGATTTAGTGAAATTCGCTCTGTGGCAAAATGATAGTTGCTATTAGTTCACATATATTTAGGAAAAATTCAAGAGAACAATTGATGTCTATGCAGTGCTTAGAACTGTTTTAGGAATACCTCAATGAAACGTATTGATGTCACAGTCAATTATTTCGTGCATGTTGAAGGAGCGTATTTTTTTAGGCGCGACAAAACAATGTGCCTGGGAGTGGGCGTTCTGTTTGCTTCTTTTATTCTGCCGTATTTTTGCGCTCGCTCAACCTGTACTTACAAAACCATGAGAATTTTGGAGAAAGAGAGATAGAGAGGGGGGAGCAAGCACCTTGAGTTTTCCAAAAAGAGAGAAGTCAGGATGCCTTGAACTCAAGCGCCTATAGTTCAAGGCCCGTGCCCCAGGCGTAGCAGCTGAGCTCAAGGCATCCTAGCATCACTTTGAACTTTCTTTTTGGAACACTAATGATGCTTACTCTTTCTCTACCTGTCTATCTTCCAAATTCGTATGACTTCGATATTCGGTTCCGACATTGGCGAAGCCGGGATCGTGGAAGGGAGTATATGATTCTTGACTTTTCTATTTTTATTTTAGCATGTGTACTTATACACAAACACATAGCCCACCTCTTCTCCCCCTCCCACCCCAAAAATTTATTTCTGACTCCTTTTGAAGATCTCAAACCTCCCTCGTAAAACACGGCCAGTACAGCGTGTACTCAGTGATAAGTCAGTCTCGCCAACCAAAGCACGACGCATGCGGACACAGTGTGTTAGATGTGAAACGAACACAGTACCATTCGATCTTTTCCACGAGATCCCGCCTTTACAAGCAGTTCTTGATCGTGTCTGCGGCGGGCCTAACGAGTCCCGCGCAACGGGCCACAAATGGGTTGGAGAAACACATTTCGCGCTAAGAGACACGCCTGCAGTCGACCTAGGTGGTAGCTTCTCTACCGGTGGCCATTAGGGACTCGCTGGACTGTGACCTCTGTTGTGGTGTACATCGTGCAGGCGTTGCCGTGGCTCGCAGTAAGTGCGCCGGAGGGGCATCGACGGGCTCGGGCTGTTGCTGCTGCTCGGGAGCATCGGCCTGCAGCAACAGCGGCTGTCGGTCGTCTCGAGTCGCGGCTAACAGCAGCAAGAGGCACTTGTGCGGCGAGCGTGTCCGACAGCTGGAGGACGACGTGTGGCAGGCCGAGCGAGAACTGCTGCTCCTCAAGGAAAAGGTGCGTGATCTTCGCAAATACACGCATGCACAATCACGCACACGCACCACGGCCCCCGCTAAACGGTATTCTATGTATCAACGGACGCGTCCGTGATCATTTCCTGGTTTCTCACCCCCAGCGTGTTCACTTAAGGGACTCACAGCCTTTCGTTGCGCTGCAAGCGCTATACCTCTTGCGATGTACTGCTATAGGCATATACCATACATTGAAAGCGTGTACAGGTATACACATCGAGCGGCTTCCCTAATGTATTTACTGCTAAGGGGTCCTGCAACACTTTAAAATGTTAGAGTTGTGACGTTATATAATTATAGTTATATTATAGCTATATTTATAGTTATAATAAAATAGACTCGTATTAGCGCATGAGGCTTCTAGAATCACATGCCGACTTTTTTAGCACCCTCCAAGTACAGATAAAGTTGATTGATGATTGATATGTAGCGTTTAACGTCCCAAATCCACCATATGACTATGAGAGACGCTGTAGTGAAGGGCTTTGGAAATTTCGATCACCTGGGGTTCTTTAACGTGCACCCAAAGTTGAGCACATGGGCCTACAGCATTTCGGCCTCCATCGAAAATGCAGCTGCCGCAGCCGGGATTCAGTCCCGCGACCTGCGGGTCAGCAGCCGAGTACCTTAGCCACTAGACCACCACGGCTGGGCTACAAACGAAGTTACAGGTATTTGTCAACTAAGGCTGCACTGCAGTCTTGCTGGTTTTTAATAGGATCCAAGGTATAGCGCATCTAGGACAGTACATAGCAAGACACACGCTGTGTATGTGTTTTGTGTATCTTGTTCTGTTACGTCCTACACTCTTAGAAGAAAGGTAATAGTACTTGCTAACTTTGGGGTAGTAACGCTTTGTCCCATATGTTACAACTCTGATAGTAAGCGCAGTTTGTAATGGCGAGCGTGGTAACAGTTACCACCTTTGCTGTTACTACCAGCATTTAGTAACTCTTACTGCCCCGCCGCGGTGGTCTAGTGGCTAAGGTACTCGGCTGCTGACCCGCAGGGCGCGGGTTCGAATCCCGGCTGCGGCGGCTGCATTTTCGATGGAGGCGGAAATGTTGTAGGCCCGTGTACTCAGATTTGGGTGCACGTTAAAGAACCCCAGGTGGTCTAAATTTCCGGAGCCCTCCACTACGGCGTCTCTCATAATCATATAGTGGTTTTGGGACGTTAAACCCCACATATCAATCAATTAGTAACTCTTACTACCCTAGCCGTTACCACAAATGCGTAGTAACTTGTAAAGGTTTCAAGAAAGAAAGTTGCAACTGATACTACTCTGTTCGTTCATCTTGGCATAGTTTTTCTTGGTTGCTAATGTTGGTCAATCAATGGCTCATCACTATACAGCTTCGGGTAGTCTTGCGTGGTGTGCAATGAACGCGAAGAATACACATACCTGCTTAGAAAAAAATTATTTACAGTGTGTACAGAACACAAAGGCTTCATACCATTCCGGTAACAGGACACATACACTTCGGCACATCTATGTATCCCGACCAACATCACTACGTTACAGAGAAGACATTTGCTCTAATATACATGACAATGTTGGCATACATGTACACAAGAACTCAATGTGATATCATGATACAATAGTATAACGATGCAATAGATGCAATGAGACACGATTTGTAACAAATGAAATCATATATAACAACTCAACGGGGGCTGCTTAGCACCAAGTCAGTTGAAAAATGAGTTGTATCCTTTCGTGTTCCACCTTAACGAAAGGGCACGACCAATGCCGCAGAAACTCGTGCTCCCCGAGGAAGAAAAGCTCCTCAGAGAGGAACGCGAGGATCTCTCGTCTCATTCTCTCCAGTATCGGCCACAAAGCACGCCGGCGGCAACTGGCAGCTACGGCCTCACATCGGTTTCTCCAAAGGCTGAACAGCCCCGCAACTATTAACAGAGCGAAGAAGTGGCCACGCGGAAATCGGCCATTGGACACGAAAGTTAGCACACCCTGTCGCTGAAAACCAGCATTAACCACTCACCAAAAAAGGCGGGAAAGCACACTTCAATCGTAGCATGTCGATTCGCCTCTACCATGACGTAGCTGGGGCAAGTGGAAGTGCGAACCACCTGCCATCGCTGCAACCGATCTTGCGTGGGGAGCAAGCCCCAGCCCAACCTCCAGACTTCTGCCTGACGTTTCGGCTGGTGGACCAGCCTTTCTCAAAGGCATGGTCCACCAGCCTAAACGTCTCTGAGATGCCCTGACAACACTATGTCAGTTATTGGTTTCCAAGCACGGTTCATTACAGATTGACGATGCTGGGGCACCAAGGGCCGTAGAAGGGCGGCCATTGTGTCCACCACTTTAGAATCGGCCACCTCTATCTTTGGGCACGTAGCTTCCAAACGTCGGTAAAATGCCAGAAGGGCTCGATAAAAAGATGGTAGTTCAGTTGAATGGGGACCTTGGTTAATTTGGCTATCCGGCAAGAAGACACGTAGTGATGGCCCCAGATGGTAGCGAGCCAGTCTCTGAGCGGGCGTGCCATCATTGCTTAGTATTCGCAATAGAGTGCGGAGGCACAATGTAGAAGCTGTGACGGAAACGTTGGGGAATGCAAAACCGCTTTGATCTCGCGGTTGAGCTAACGCTGGACGAGATAACAATTCTGTGCCACCAGACGAAAAAAAATGAACTGATGCAGCTTTGCTCTTTCCTGAAGACGTGGTGCAGTGGTTTAACAGAATGGCAAAGGTACCAAAATTTTCCTAAGTACACCGTTTGAGTTAAGTATCGGCGTTCCAAGAGTAGAAATTCGAAGTACCTGGCTGCTTTGATATCCCTTAGAAGAGTTTGTACAACGGATGACCAGATGCTATCCTGTACACCAAATGCAGTGAAAGTAACTCCGAGTATTGCAATCTCAGGAGACCCCTAAAAAGGTGACGTGATGTTTATACGACCGCTGGGGTTGTCAATCAAAAAACACTGGCTTTTAGAAAAGTTTAACCTTGCATCGAGGATAATGCCGAAATCATGGAAAGTACCAAGAGCATGCTGCAGCCGACTATTCATTATGTACATATAGAGCATTGTCATCTGCATATGCAGTGACATTTACTGGAGTGTTACCGAGGAGAGGTGAGCCACGAATCTGCGGGTAACACACAACGGCCCTTAAGAAGGATTCTAATGCAAGTAAAAATAACACTGGGGAGAGGGGACACCCTTGACGGACCCCACGCGTGACTCAAAATGCGTGACTCTCATGGGAATCGGGTACTTTCTGAATTAAACGGGTACTTTCTGAATTAGTGCACATCGCGTGGATGAGGTCAATGAACTTATCCGGGAATCCAAATGCATGTATATTTAGCATGTAGTCATGTTCTATGAAATCAAAAGCTTTCTCCTGATCTAAGGAAACCAACAGTCCTTGCGCACACAGGCTAGTGGTGTATTGAAGGATGTCACGCGTTAACCACGTATGGGTGTGCATTTCTCGGCCCGGAAAAGAACAGATCTGGTGAGGAGCGATTATTGTTGCAATAGATGGACTGATTCGGCACACCAAGATGTTGGCCAACAGCTTGTAATCTACATTTAGCAGGGTTATAGGGTGTCAATCTTAAGGTCTCGTGGACATTGGGTCTTTCTTGGGAACAAGTGTTATACGGCCTTTGTGGAAAGAGGTTGTAAGGGTAATATCTCGGAAATACTTGCGAATGACGCGTGACATAGTTGGACCAATGATAGGCCAGAACTGTACATCCAACTCTGCAGGGAGTCCGTCAGGCCCTGGGGCCGATCCCTTTTTCATTGCGTCTAATGCGCCCTTTATTCCGTCATCGGATGGCGGTGATAGCAGAACGTCATGTGACATGTTGGAATCATGAGGTAAATCTTTTAGCAGTGGATGCGAAGAAACGGATCCTGGGTAACATACATTAGCGACAGATTGAACCATTGGCTGAAAGTGTTGAGTGAATGCCTGAAAGTCGCGCGTACCCGCAGCAGCTGGCGCTGGAGAGTTCAGCGAGGGCCAAGTGAGCCTGGTGGAAGAAGCAGAGCTCTGTGTGCATACCTTAGCACCTCAGGGTGCGCACACGGTGCATGTCTACAGCACCAAGCTGCAGCTGAGAGCGAAGAAGTGCGCATAATACGTTGGTACCGTTCAACGAGCTCCTCTTGCCATGCCCGCATTACAGGAGAAGGACTGGGATCACGGTTGGCAATGCGTATTTTCTGGATTAACAATGACGCATCTTTGGACCTACGGGTGCGAAGTCCTCTACCCGACGCACTGAAATGATGGCGCCACTGTTCTTTGAGGCGATACCAATCAGCTATATCCACCCCAATGAGCGATGCGCGTAACGCTCGGGACAATTTCTCCGTAGACTAAGAGTCTTGGAGGACGCGGCAATCGAGACGCCATGGTCTGTGAATCATTGGCGTCCCCGCTGGCAGGCAGAGAGAGAACATGACCGGGTGATGGTTGCTAATCTACACTAGTGTTGGTGGCGATGACATCACCCCGGTGTCGTGAACGTAGGTAATGAGACCGGGGGATGCATACCCGCGATCAATTCGGCTGCTCGACACCAAGTATAGGCATAATTGCAGCCATGCACACTTTCATGAATGTCACTCAATGTCAACTGTTGCACTAGACGTTCGAGTTCTCTGGCATTCCAGTTTGACCGTACACGACCCGGACCTCGAACGTCTGCGTGTGAGTCTAAGACACAATTGAAATCCCCTAAAAGTACCACATGTCGGGAATTTAAAAGGAACGCATCAAGAGATTGGAAGAACGCATAAGAGTTCACGGGAGCTGCTGGGGCATACACGCCAACAAACCTTATTCTTAACTAAAAAAAGGTGCAGTCGAACGCCGGCACGCGTCCGAAGGCATCGAAGGAAACATGATGGTCATATAAATGACGTCGATTAAAATAATGACTCTGACGCCAGTCGAACGCGTGCTGGCGTACGAAAAGAAACAATAAATA